GGGGAGATTTGGGAGGGCAGAGCAGTTTTTTATACCTCTCTGCAGTTAGGATGTGACTTCTGTGACAGTGGGCATTCTGTCTTTGCTCACAGCTGATTCCCAAAGGCTTAAGGACAATCTGATCTGGTATCTGAATGAATAAAATGCTATTTTCGCTTTTTCTGAAAGATGAAGTATTAAGGGATTGAAATTGGGGACCTAGGAGAGAAAACAAAGCACTGTCATGTGAACCCTGTCTTTGCAAGAGGCCACCTAGCTGACTTAGAAGTCACTGTGGGGCAAAGTGCTTCCTGCTCATATGTGAGGACCCGAGTTTGGTCCTCAGTGGAAGCTGAGCACAGCTGAACACAGCAGTGTATGCCTGCAATCTCATTGCTGGGGAGGTGGGGATGGGGCGGTCCTTGGACTTGCTGGCCAACCAGTCTAGCTGATCAGGGAGCACCAGGTTCAATGAGGAACTGTCTGAGTTTGGTTTTTGTTGCTGTGATAAAGATCATGACCAAAAGTAACTTGAGGGGGAAGAGTTTATTTCACTTTGGAGATTGCAGTCCGTCGTCAAGGGAAGTCAGCACAAGACCTCATGACAGGAACCTGGAGGCAAGAACTGACGCAAAGGCCACGACGGAACGATGCTTGCTGTCTTGATCCCCATGGCTAGCTCTGCCTACTTTCTTATGGATCTCAGGACCACTTGCTTAGGGGGGTGGCACTGCCCACAGTGAACTGGACCCTCCCACGTCAATCATGAATCGAGAAAATGTCCCACAGACTTGCCTACAGACGATCTGACGGAGGCATTTTCTCAATCGAGGTTCCTCTTTCTAGATCACTCTAGTTTGTATCATTGACAAAAAGCTAACCAGGACAGATAGGCTGCCTCAGAGTACAATGTGAAAAGTGATTGAGAAAGTTACCTCATTGACTACTGGCCTGCACAAGCACACCCATGCATAGGCGTGCGCACGCGAGCACACACACACACACACACACACACACACATACACACACACATTCGTGCGTGTGCTCCCTCACATGAAATTACTCTTCAATCTGGGTCCGTTTTGTTATTGCTAAAATGGGAGCAAAGAACACCTTGCATGTGGCATGTCCTGAGGACAGGAGACAGTGACAGAGGCACCCCACACGTGCACACTTTCAGTAGCCAAGTCGTCCTTTTCTGTTCCATGGGCCAGCTGCTCCTTCCTATGGTTGAAAATGTACACCCCGTCTTGATCTCACTTGTTCAGAAGTGTTTGGCTTCTCCCGGAGGTCTCATGGGAGGACATTGACGTGGAGAAAAGTGCAAAGCCAGCAGGAGCAGTTTGCAAATAATTGAGATTTACCCTCAGTCTTAAAACAGAGCCAAGGAAGCGCCTGGGGACTCCTGTTATATACACAAGGTCTAAGGAAAGTCAAACTCTAACTGGAACCTCAGTCCTGACCTTTATGAGGTCAAAATATCAAAAATCCAAGAAGGGGCCTCAAGAGCCAAGAGAAAAGAGATAGCTTGACCTTCACTTTGGGGTTCAGCTTACCTCAGTCACTCACAACGACCTTTTAAGGGCCAGATGTGGGGTCTGGACCCAGCAGCTTCCTGAGAGAGGGCTGAATTAGCTTGCAGGTTAGTCCCATGCACATGCTCCACCCACTGAGACAGGACCAATCACTGATCAGCTCAGCTCATTCCCCCACCCCCAGAGGTTAGGTAGTGAATGTTATTGCTCATGCCTAGGGGCTGCTTTTGGATGTGTTTGAAGCACTGCTTTTCCATTTTTAAGGGAGATGCTCAAGAGGGCACAGTGGGAACTATTCTAGAGAAGAGCTGGGGGATCTTCCTTAGGAATCAGTGTGGGAATAGAGACAATCTCCCAAACGTTAACCTTAGTTTTCATATGGTGATTTCCCAACCATGCATTTATTACCAGAGTACTGGCTGCTGGGATCCTTGGGCATGGTCTGGGCTCTGCTGGTCCTGCTGCTTAGAGCAAAGTGGACACAGCCTTTCAGACTTGGCTAGAGGACACTGCGAGGGTCAATGATGACAAAGGGTTGTAATGCCACAAAAAAACCCTGCAGCTCATTACAAAGATACAGGGCATAGAAACCTACATGGCTGAGGAATTTTGAATGAACCTTATTAAAATACATTTTTATATGTGAACAGATGTTTGCATGTGTGTGTGTGCTTATGGAGGCCAGAAGCTGATATCCAGTGTCTTTTTCCATCACGCTCTACTGAGGCATGGCCAGTCCTCTCCATGAACCTAGTGTTCCCCAGTTCTGCCTAATTTAGCTGGCCAGCTTGTTGCCGTGGTCCCCTGTTGCTGATCCAGGAGGTCTGATATTATAGGTGGACTGCCAATCATTTTGCTGACTTCCTGCATGCGTACTGGGGTCTGACTGCCAATCCTCAGGCTTGTGTGGCAAGTGCTTTCCCCACCTCCAAGGCATATTTTTTATGCTGCAGAATCATGTTATTATACATAATAAAATCTACCCAGTTGGTATAGCGACGGTTTCACTCACTAAAATATGTTCCCAAATGCTGCCCAGCCCTCTCCCCACACTAGGCTCTTAATAAACACTCATCTGTTTTTTGTCTCCCTAGTTTTGCTTTTCCTAGAACATCATATAAACAGGATTATATGACGTGGAGTCCTGTGTGCTTGCTCTTTCTTCACATAGCCTCTGAGACTCACGAATGATGTTGGTGGTCGGTAGTTCATTCCTTAATGCTGAGAATACTATGGGAGCCTAGCTCATTGAGATTTGCTTTAAAGCCTAACCTAGAACGCATGAAGCCCCTGGGGAGCCTTGCTTTATACACTTGACTTAGGAAAGTCAAGCCCCAACTGAAACTCACGTCTTAGTTTTTCAAGGTCAGTATATCAAAAAGCCCAGAAAGGACCGGAAGTAAAGATGCGTCATCCCTCGCCCATTCACACGCTGGAGGACGTTTGCTTATTTCTGGGGTTTGAACCATTATGAATAGAGTGATGGTGGAACTTCACTTGTGGGTTTTCTTTTCGTTTTCCTTTCTTGTTTTGGTTTTGTTTTTTGAGACAGAATTTCTCTGTGTATCCCTGGCTGTCCTAGAAATGACTCTAGACCAGGCTGGCCTTGAACTCACAGAGATCCGCCTGCCTCTGCCTCCAGATTGCTGAGATTAAGGGCATGTGCCATCCCTACCCAGCTACATATTGGTTTTTTTATTTTTTTGGTTTTATGAGACAGGGTTTCTCGGCATTGTTTTGGAGGTTGTCGGTCCAGCCTGACCTCGAACTCAAGAGATCCGCCTGCCTCTGCCTCCTGAGTGCTGGGATTAAAGGTGTGCGCCACCACCGCCCGGCTACATATGGGTTTTTAATAGACATGTTTTCATTTCAGCTGGAGCTCAGAGGTAGGTCATGTATGATGATGGTATGTTCAGCTTTGAAAGTAACTGTCAAACCCATCCCATATCGCACCCATATCGAATTTCCTTGGACAAGCCATTCACCACTTGAAAAACAACGCATACTTCTTGTATCTATTTGCTAACTTGTTCACAGTCTGTCTGTGAGTAGCATATAAAACTTAAGGAGGCACCTGCCCCTGCACCAGTAAATCATGTGATTAGATAAATGGCTGGAGGTAGAGAGGGTCATCGGGCTGCAACCACTAGGCTTTCCCATCAGTTCTGGAGTGCAATTAACTTAGTGATTCTAAGTTGAAACAGTTTTGCCCTGGATTTGGAAAGAGGGCCTTTGAGGAAGGAAGGTCATGCAGAGAGCAGAGAGTGAGGGAGGGTGTCAGGGGTGTGTGTGAATGCATTCTGAGTACTGAGAGCACACCATGCACCTCGCACTATGTGTGTGTATGAATGGGCACTACGGCCGTAACGATAGTGTGACACTAATCCTCGCTGCTTACAGTGTGTGCCAGCCGCTCTGCTCCCCACACAGGTTAATCCATTTATTCTTCCCAACAGTCTTATGCTGTAATGATAGTCTTAACACTACCATTATATACATTTTATGGACAAGGAGACTGAAGCAGAAAAAGGTGAAAACGCAGAACAGCTCTGGGTTATGCTCCGAAGTCTGGCCCTGTCTCCTCTGCATCACACTGCCAAATCGTCATGGCCATGGTTGTTAGTTAAGGGACCGTGTTAGCTGCTGTGATCAATAACTATTAATTAGTCTGTAGACCTCCACATATGGTGATCTGAGCAAGACAGAAATGAGGTTTTTCTCCCAGGTATCAACCCCAAAGGACAAAACCCAAGGCTGTTAGGCTGGCTTTGTTCTTCTCAGTATGACTCCAAGTTTGAGTTCAAGGTCATCACTTACATCTTCTCATCTTCCAGCCAGAGCGGAGGGGGAAAAGAGTCAGGAGGCATATCCATGCCCCTTCTAATGGAATGATCCGGAAGTTTAACTTCCCATTGGTCAGAGTCTAGTCCGATGGCCACACCGCGCTACGTGGGAAGGTGGCAGGCAGTCTGTTCTCTATGGCGCAGCATGTCCTCTGCTACAATTCAAGGGCTCTACTGCGAGCGAGCGAGCGGGACGGATGGAAGCCCAGCTCTCTCTGCCACAGACTGCAGACTATCCTCTGGACTTTGAAGTTTGTTCCCTAGGGGATGAGGAACTGTCAAATGACCTGTAAGTGGGAATGCTTTGCAGTTAGATCACTCTGGAAGACTGTGTGGAGAATAAAGAGATGGGAGGAGATAGGAGCAAGGGGCCTGTGGACGGCTGGGGTTTGCAGGTTGGGACTGCGAATGCCTTTTGGAGATGGAGTTTGACCAAGCGTCTGTCTTATGATATACTCAACCTTCTGACACCACCTGACACCACTAGTACTGAGTCTGCACACATTGCTCCAGCGACAGTCCCCACGGACACAGCAGGACCCTGCTCAGTCCTGATGAGGTCTCCAGTGATATTCAATGCAGGGATAGTCCTTGGCTCTCCTCACTAACAGTGCCCTCTTTTGTCTGTCTCTCTTGGTCTTAGGACCCCCGGAGCAAACACAAGTTTAAGATCCACACCTACTCCAGCCCCACCTTTTGTGACCACTGTGGGTCACTGCTGTACGGACTCATCCACCAGGGGATGAAGTGTGACAGTAAGTACTTGATCTCCTGGGGAGTGTCTGCCCACGGGGAAAGCCACAGGAAAGGCTTCTATCCTAAAGGCTTAGGGTCCGAGTCTTCACTGTGTCCTCCTGGCCCCTGGGTAGGGCTGGTACTGTTACCCACTGCCCTGTACTGAGCTCTCCTCTTCCATAACAAGGTGGACTGGACCAGCTCATCCTCCTGCAGAACACTTCCTATAAGTCACCTCCATGCTGCACCCACTTTCTAGGGAATTCAAACTACTACATGTCAATACTTTAAAATTAGGAGATGTCATGCTTACGTCTGGGTTCCTGCTTATATTAAACACGGGGCACTTGGACAACATTGTATATGCATTCCCGTAGGGTCTACTGGGGTGGGTGTGGCTGTGTCCTCCACGTGACCACATCCACATCTTCCCTCACTTATGAGTGGTGCACTGAGCATTTGAATGGGGCTTTAGAACCACCGGGGTATAGAAGTATAGAGGCACCTGCTTGGTCTTCAGGGAGGATGGCCAAGTTCAGTTTCTTTTATCCATCGGGGTTGTGAAGAAGCCATGGAGAAGTCCTTTTGATTTGATGCTGGCAAGGTGGCTTGTTCTCTGCTAGGAGCATTGGCTCTAAGGTGGAGGAACAGGAAGGTACCAGCTAGCCTAGGTACAGCTGATGCCTGAAGCTCCTAGCCTGGGCTACCCTGGGCCACCCTGGACCAGCCTGAGTCATGCCTCCTTCTCTCTGCCCTCACAGCCTGCATGATGAACGTCCATAAGCGCTGTGTGATGAACGTCCCCAGCCTCTGTGGCACTGACCACACAGAACGCCGTGGCCGCATCTACATCCAGGCTCACATCGACAGGGAGGTCCTCATCGTGGTCGGTAGGTGGCTCCCAGGCTGCTGCGCTGGTGCTGGAGTCCCTGAGTTCCTTGCGGGGAGGGGAGGGTAGTGTGCGGCAGGTTACAGGTGCCTGCATGCAGGGGCTCGGCATTGCTGCTTTGGCCCCGCCCCCAGTGCGGTCCTTTTCCACAGAGAAATCTTCGGACTGTGGACCCTCACATTCTGCACTTCCTGTGCTGGTCTCAGCTGCTGAAGGGCCCCCTGAGCTCTCCAGGCTTCTTTGTTTAAAAAATATGTGTAATTGAAATATAATAATTTAAATTTGTGTTCATAGTGTATTTTGACACATGTACAATATGTAATGACCAAAATCAAGGTAATTTTCACATATCTCTGCACCGTCTGAAGCATCTATGATTTCCTTGTATTGAGGACACTCAAAGGACTTGTAATTTCACAGATTCCGCTTTCTGTCTCCCATTTGTCTTCCCTTGTCCCCAGAACATGCAGTCCCTGTGCCCTGATTCACATAGCCAAGAAGGCACACTTGCTCCCTCCCCAGGCTTTTCTGGTGGGAACATAGAGCCTTGCTGACCAGCACCAAATTTGGGAGAATTCATGTCTTAAAGAGGAAGGGAAGGGCTGCACACTTTAGGGAACTCCGTGGAGCCTTCGATGTAGTTGAAAAACGTTTTTAACCTGGTGGGAGCTATGTTAATCACTCTAACATTCTGCATGCTTATTGTGTTTCTGAAGCATTGCATAAGAAGGAGAAACTACAATTTGCCGAGGGGCGGGTGGCATGAGGAGCAGACAGTTCTGACTTTCCGTAGTGATCATTCATGAAGCATAAACAACAAAGGAATTTGTCAGGGCTGGAGTGGCAGGTACTTACCTACTAGTCATGGTAAAACCGCATGGAGAGAGACACAATAGCATGAAAATTAGGAGAAATTGTGTCTCCCAGGCTCGTGACACAAACCTCTACCGACTTATGTAACTAATTTGTATGAACAAGGCATCTCCATTTCATCATGGAATGGGTTGATTTTGTAACTTGGCCTGTTTCTGAGGCCCTGGGATGGCTTAGCACTGATGTGCTGAAACTTGGCTTGGCTAGGGGTTTGCCTAACCATATAAAGGCTGAAACATATTCCTGCAAAATATAACTCCTTTTTGAAGGGGTCATTTAGGAAGCCCAGAGAGTTCTTAGAGAAGGCAGGTTTCATCAAGAGGCTTTTTCTTTCTAGGAGAGGAGGCAGCTGTTTCCCAGTGGGGTGCTTGTAGAGTAGGGATTGAGTGCAGAGACAGTCTTAGGGTAGATAACAAGCTCCTGGGGAGCCTGCCCCACCCCTCACCATAGATTAGCTAGCCTCCAATGCCTGAGGGACAAAACTGAGGCTCTGCTGCCACCTAGTGGTTCGAAACAGTGAGTGCGTTTAGATCCACAGCCCTTTCAATCCTGAGGACCGTCTTGCCAAGTATGTGTTATGTTCATTTTATGAATGTGACAACTGAGATAGAGAAATGATACTTCTCAGACTTCTCACCACCAGTGACACCAAAACGGTAGCTCACATGCACAGGGCTTTTGAATACTATGTAACATATTCATCATGCTGTGAGAGTGCTTACAGGCAACATCTTGTTTAAATACCACAGTACCCCAAGGAGGTGGACATTATCCTCCTACCCATCAGGAAACAGGTCCACCAGGTGCCCACTCACTTCCCAAGCTAGGTCTGTTGACTTGAAAGTATCCTTCTCTACATACCAAGTTACTGTTTTAGCTCACTTTTGCCCCCCCAACACACACACACACACACACACACACACACACACACATTTATTTCCTTTCTGGTTTAGCAATGGGATGCATCTGTGACATTTGTTTTCTCAGACCACAGCCACGGAGTGCCACAGACTTATTCTTGTGGAGTCCTGGAGGTGGGAGGTGTAGGTCCAGGATCAGTAGTGTCACTCCTTAGGCAGGGTTCCTAGGACTCTGGCCCACGCTTCTGCTGGTCACTAACGGTCTTTGGGGTTCCTTGACTCTATTGCTGTATGCGCTCTCTGTTCTGCATCTGCTGATTTAGGATGCCAGTCATTGGATTGACGCCCACCCGGCCTAGTATGACCTCATCCTCTCTTGAGCACATCCGTAAAGATCCTATACCCATATAAGGTCATGGTCACAGATGGCCAGGATGAAAGCTTCAACTTATGATTTGGAGACCACAATCCAACTCAATAATGGAAGGTAGAAAAGATGGGACTACCTTAAACTTCAGGTTGGAATTTTCCATAATTAGGGACGTGATAACATTCATTAAATAGTTGCAAGCATTTCGGTAGTGTCTTTCTTCTAATTGTGGGGCTGTGAGATTGCTCAGTAGACTAGAGTTGTTGCCTCACAGGCAAGGAGAGACTCAGACTTGGCAAAGCTGCACAGCTTGATCAATGTCACAGGCAGAGCAGGAATTCACATCTGGGCCACTGTGTCACTGTGCCCTGCTAATGTCTCTTCACAGGCCAGCTGCAGGCTGTGCTCAGCATGGCCTTGTTTGTTGATTCTAATACTAGAATTAAAGGTTTCCTTGGCCTTTCTCATCAGTCCCGCACCAGAGGTGGCCTCATGTCTCATCTCATGCAAACTCTGAAAGCATTTGTAGGGTTAGAGCTTTCCATTGGCTGCCAGCCTGGGGCACTGATGTCAGACCTGGGTGTCACATGCTATTCAGAAATCCAGCCTGGGTACACGGTTTTCTGTTTCCCTTGGCTACTGAAACTCGGAGCTGTCTACCCACTTTTGTAGGCCATGATCAGAATGGAAATCTGGCCAGTTTTTCTCTTGAATCCCACCAGTGGGTTTCCTAACATCTTCAGAACATTCAAATGTGACACAGTGGTGTCACTGCCCATCTGAGTCTCTCCAGATCTGACACAGTGGTGTCACTGTCCATCCCCAGTCTCTCCAGGAATCCTCTAGATGGTGCCTATGTATGTTTACCTCTCCCAGCATGCAACTCTTCTGCAGAGCTCACCTGATTTTAAGCCTGACCTTCCCATGCCTTAGTCACTCATGGTGCAGTGAACTGAGCGGGGACAGTCAAGGTTGTGTTGGCTTTGGTTACTCTCTGCCTTTAGCCCCACATGGGAAGAGTCTGTTTCTGGTTTGTGACACATCCCCGGCCTCTGGCAAGGTTGAGGTCACTACACACTTGTGGAATCAGAGTGCCATCAAGGATCCTGTTAGATGCGAGACCTCCACAGAAGATGCTTGCATCGGTGTCTCCTGAAGTTGAATCAGCAGATATTCTATTCTACCCCACACTATTTATTATTCCTCTAAGGAAGCTGAGCACACATAAGTCCTCGGTGTCTCAGCCAATGACAATAGCAAGTGATCATGGGATCAGGGTTCACCCCTTGGACGCATGACCACCTTGTTCTCTGGACAATGTAAAGGCGCAGAGCAGTGGGACTTGTAGAAGCATAGGAAACCTTGTTGACACTGTTGTGCCCAGTGACCTATGATAGAAGCAGCACCGCATCAGAAGATCAGAGTCATGCGATGGGCCCGAAGTTAAAAGTCCAGGTCCCGTGCACATAATGATATATTATTCAAACTCTCTGATTCATTATCTTCCTATAAACGGAAAAACTGACATCCCCATCTCGTACATTATGGCTGTATTCTTTTTTAAATTAAATTTCAGATTAGTATACAAAGCAATGAGTTGCCTTAAGTACAGCCATATTGTCTTTTAATTTGAGAATTTCATACAGGTATTTAATGTCTTTTGATTAAATTCACTCCACTCCTACCCATCCAGTTCTTCTCCTCCCTGCCACAGCTCTTAAAAAACAAAGGCAAGCCGGGTGGTGGTGGCGCACGCCTTTAATCCCAGCACTCGGGAGGCAGAGGCAGGCGGATCTCTGTGAGTTCGAGGCCGGGCTGGACCGACAGCCTCCAAAACAATACAGAGAAACCCTATGTCGTAAAAACCAAACCAAAAAAAAACCCAAAAACAAAAACAAAAAACAAAGACAACCCACCGAGTCACTTTGTGCTGCCTGCTGAAGCATTGGCAGCCTCTCCAAGGTCATATCCCTGGAGGAGCTGATCACTTGCTTGAAGCAGAGGAGAGGGAATGGGAAGTGCTGTGAAGTAAAAATCCATCTGGGTTAATATTCAATAAATGCTACCCAGCCAGGCATTAGCTTCGGGATTTTATTTTTAAAAATGACCACGAACTAGCCACTCAGGACCACAAGGGGGCAGTCTCTGATTCCAAAACCATTCCTCCATGGAGTGTTTCTTAAAAAGAGATGTTCCAGTTTGAGCCTGGCATGGTGCCTTACTCCTGTAACTCCAGCCACTTACCACATACCCTAGGGGCTATTTTATACAATGTCTTCAGTGTTTAAGCCGTGGCACCTTCCAATTGCAGCATCATGTCAGTTTTGGGCTTGGGGACACTTGGGGATGTGAGGAATAGGGGTGCTCAGCTTTTCCTAGTTTTTTGTTTCCCCCAGCATTTTATTACGAAGCATTTCTGTCAGCCAGCAGAGTCAGGAGAATTCTACAGCAGCCATCCAAGCATTCATCTCCCGTTGCCGGTGACCACACTAGCCTGATCATGTGTTCATCGGTCTTGCTTTCCATCCACCCATCCATCTTATTTTGACACATTTCAAGTAGGTTACAGACATCCATTTATTTCTTGCTGAACAATTCACCGTATTAATTACAAACTCAAAATCAGAATTTACTTTTTAACCTGTGACGTAGAATTTACATATTACCCTATACACATGTCTGAAGTGTCCATTAGCTGAGCTTTGGCAGTTGTGTATGACTCCGTCATAGCCCCTATCCATTTCATCCTTGATTGAATGACTGCTTGATTGATTGATTGATTGATTGATTGACTGATTGGCGTCACAGAGTTCACTGAGGATCTAATAAACACTGAATGTTGACCTTGGGAAAATGCTCTTGTGTGTGTTCATGCCTGTGGGGTGGGGTGTGTGTGTG